CTGAAAGAACACTGCAGAAATTTTATTTCATCAGCTATGTGAGTTGCATTTCCTGTCCTGATAAACACACACTACAAAGTCCAAAAGCACTTCAAGTTATCAAATTGCACTTGATTACTCAAGTCTTAATAATATATCAACCTTTCATCATCCTGAACCTGTTTACGGTATTTCAGTGCTGATCTTTTTCTCAAAAAACAAAACCCCGGCAGAACCCAAAACCTTTTTTTGCTATTCTGTGCTAATTCCATTTAATTATTGGATTTCTGTTGTATAATTCCTTACTTTCTATGCATTCCTTGATACTCAACTATATATGGACTGAAATTTGAAATTAAAGCTGGTATATAACTATTACATTATTACATCTATCTAAATTGATTGCACAGAAGAAATTAAGAGCCTCCAGGAGTTCTGTTAATCCTATTCACATTAAGTTTGCACTTACAGAAATAAGTTGAAACTCTGATAATATAGTTTCACTTCTGGGGAATATGTAACACAAAGCTAGGCTTTTGTTAGTTTATGAGCTGCCAAAATATCTGTGATGCCATGTACAGTGCAAGTTCTATACACAGGGTTCTTTGGAGATATGTGGATAAACCACTGTTTGTTTGAAGGCTACAGCTAATGTAAGCATGAGCAAATTTACACTTACAGCAAGAAATCTGGCTTGGGACTGATACAGTCTGACATCAGTGAATGGTCTAAATTTGCAAACTCAGTGAATAATTGTAGGATGAGCTTCTTTACAATGAAGTGCACTGGTTCTTCCTGCAATCATTCACTACAAGGTTTGTGCTCACATGGTACTTTGACCTATGACATCCTCACTAAAATAGCCAAATAAGGAAAGGTAGGTTTTTTTGTGAGTCACCATTCTTTTAGTGCCTTTTGTAACTATTAACATTCAGTTGATTTTTTCTGATCTTCAGCCAGAAGAAAGTATCCTGAGGACTGTTTTTCAATGCAGGTCCTGTGTTTCTCCTGCTCCAGCCAGAGACTGCTTTCTTTTATGGGTTCAGTAATAGTTAGCTCTGGAAGCAGTCTTTGAATTTTCCCTGATGTGGGTTGATGAGGAAAGACCAGTCCAGAGAAGCTGTCTGCATCATTCCTTGGGGCCAGACAGCCTTTGGACTCTAGAAACTCTTGCAATATTTTCTTTTTAGCTTTGTACAAAGACCTTTCACCTGACTAAGACAGCTGGTGACAAATCTAGCATCCCCAGGGCATTCCTGAGTTTTCTTAGCTGAGGATAAGATGGATATATCTTACTTTTATATTTACTGAGCTTTCAACAGCTCCAGAATAGCAAACAAAAGCCTTCTTTACTATTACTATTACTATTACTATTATCCCAAGTTTCTTGGGATGTAGCCTCTGTATTATTTCATCTGTGTATAAAGAATCAAAGAGAAATATATCTCATTATGAATGAAAAAGTAATATGTAACATCAACCCCCAGAATTTATGGCTTAATTATTCCTTACAAAGTATTCTGACTTCACAAGACATGTAGGGATGTTTGAGATTTTAGCAGGTGTTAAATTCAAATTTACTGGATTGCAGTTGGCTGCTTTGGATCTTACTCTGACATTATTATTAATGCTGACTAGTAGGCTTCTTTAATTTTTCCCTTAGTTTCTGATATCCTACGTGAAGATGAGAAGATCTGCTCCTCGGCAAGTGTGAAAATTACCCTTACATTACATACTCAAATCCATACACAGGTGATATTCAAATGCAGTGCATGCTGTGGGTAGTTCTATGCAGTCCGTATTTTTCCCTTTTACATCCTGAAATTGCAACAAATTCCAAAAAAGGCAACGAAAATTTGTAAATCAACAAGTGAGAGGATTGTGATAAGCTTAAACTCGTGAAAGCTTCAGAAAATAAAGTTTTAAAACAGATTTTTTTTCATTTGAGATTTCTTTGAAAAAAAAACAAATCTGCAGTCAAAAGGAAAGAAATAAGGGAAACTTAAAAGCTGTAGCTCAGTAGTGGGTCTTCATTATCTCCAGGGTAAATGTGGCCTAAGCCACTGATGGACTTGGGACAGCATTTTTTATCATATCCTCCCTCTGAATTCTTCTAACTACAAATTACTACATTTAGCAGAAAGGAAAATGATTGCTCCTTTATATTAATTGATGAGGGTGTAAGACAAAATTTATAATGAAAAGATGCAGTAAATAATTGTAAATAATTGTAGACATGCTCCTAGTAACTAACAGCCAGTTGTGTGAGGCGTTGCTCATCATGACAAAGCCAAGATGAGTTGCATACAAACCACATTTACAGTTCTGTACAGTTTAATTATTTGAGTAATTTCAATTTTTAGTCACAGAAATCTGCTAATGCACCTGATGTTTTCTGAAAGACATCTCAATATTCAGTTGTTTAGACAGGTAGGAATAAGAGTAAAATATCTTTTTGAGCAAATACATACTTCACAGCTGTGAATAGATAGGGAACAAAGTTAGCTGTTCTGAAAATCTAATTGCATCTTTATCAAAATTGCCTCCCCTTCCTTCTGCATTTAAAATATGTCATAGTCTTAGATGGCTTTTTTTTTAATCCTCTCCCACAGGTATTCATATCCTGTGGAGTAATCTGAAATAGCTGCTTTTGCTACCTTGATCAGAAGAACCTGAAATCGTGGATGGATAGAAGAGAACTGCATTCAAGAAAGGTTTGGAAATATTTTGTTTAATATTGTTCTTTTCTTCTCGACTGAAAAGAGAGATATTGTTACCCAGTGCTGTTAAAAAAGTAGGGTCTGATCTAAACATGCTTTTGAAACTGAAAAGCTTAAAAGTTCTTAGCATTGTTTATAGTCTGGTCCCTAAATTTTGGACGTGGGTGGATTTCTTAAAGAGTTGTTATTGTTCTGGAATGCTGTGCAATTTTGTTGATCTTGTCCAGCTAAAAAAAAAAATCAGGATATGGCAGAAGGTATGGAATTATCTAATCTCGAAGCTTCCAAGATACAAAGGGTACAAACACTAAGGTGAAAGCAATGCCTTCTACAAATGTGTGAAAATCAGTTCATAAACCAAAGGCTCTATGTAGCAAATTTTTAGATTTTGTGTATTTACAGAAACCTGTGTGTACATGATAATGTATAATACATCCAGAACCAGGAGAAGCTGGTCAGCATTTTCATAAACAAATTTCTGCATCTTTTGTCTTCATACTAGTAAACATGGGTTGGTTGAAGAGCATAATCCAGGCTGAAGTTGGAGGTGAAAGCCATATTTAAAACTATCCCCAGCATGTTGAATGCTTATAAAATTTTTCACTTTAATCATAAATGGAATTTTTGAGCAGATTAAGTTCAAACTTAACAGTTTGTATGCTGAAAGGTATATGCAAGACAATCACTTTTAACTCTAGAGTACCTTACTCTAGACTGAAATACTCCCCAGTGTATGGATAGAAAGATCTTGTCTCAAATATTTGCCACACAGTCTATTGGAAATATAACATGTTCTCAGTTTCAATTTTTAAATTATTTAAAATTAGTAGCATGGTTTATAGCTGACTACAAAATTGTATTCACCTGAGATAGCAAACGTGACAGTTTTTTACTCTCTTTAATGCAGTTTGGTTTTCTTTTCTAAGTAAACTTCCTCTTTTCTTTCTCCTTGAATAGACTGAGCTTTCAATGATTCCTGCAATCATGCTCACCAAAAAAAAAAAAAAAAAAAGGAAAGAAGCTGGAGTTGCCTATGCAGCATATACAGCTTGCTTTTCTTGTAATCTGGCTTTATGTCATGTGCCCATGTCCTTATGGTCATGACAGATGTAGTGCTGGGGCAAGCGCTCTGAGTGCAGCTTTTCATTGGATCTCCCTTTTGTGCTCTTGACTCATGTAGCCTCAATTCTCAGTGAAATCCGGCAGTAATTGTTATATTTGGAAGCTGAGTTATTTTCTCTCGGTTTGAAAGTAGTCAGAAATTACAGGCAGTGACAAAACTTCACAGATTTCAGTAGCAAATACTCACGGCAAAAACATCTCTCTGTAGCAGACACACAGAGTAATTAGCAATGTAACAGGGAACTCAGATGTGAGTTGAGTTCACCATCTTGAGGGTTTTTTTGAGACTGAAGATTATTCTTTCCAGAGCTGATTTTTGTATCAAGACAGTGGTTAAAAACTGTAGTTCATACCTATTGTCTGATCTCAAATTTCTGGCTTAAAATTTCAGACTTGAAATTTCCGACCTGCTCGTAACAGATCACAAAGCTGCTTTAAACAATAAGTCTGAAAAATGTAAATGGGTGAATTTCTGTCCACCAAAAAGCTGTGCATGAGGATTTCCTGGGTGCTCCAGCAAAAATAAGAGCATTTTAGCAGCCTAGACTAAAGGAATCCCCCATGTATCAGTGGTGATGAGAACCAAAAGGAGTCCTTGAGGTATCTACTTCCTCATTGCTTTCTCTTCCATGTATATTCTGCTTAGGTTTCAGCCTGCATGGTTTATTAGACACATGGGAATGCATAAAATATCATCCCATTGAGAAACTGAATATTCCAAATAATAACTTATATAAAGTGTGAATAGAGGTGGGCAGAAATGGCATTCCCCCACATGTTAAATAAGGTAATGAAATAATTACATAAATGAATGTGGAATGATGCAACAGGTGTGCTTACAACCCTGAGTACAAGCCAGACAGTGAGTGATGCTGACAGGGAAGGAGTAGGGTTATGTGAGGCCCTATGGATTTTAACAATAGTTGTGATAAATACTGAAGTACAGAAAAGCTGAACTGAATATTGAATCTCTTTGCTACAGCTAATTACAGGCTCAGGTGGAAATCAGCGGCAAGTTTCCATTCTAACAGTTTGCCTACTTCAAGCCAAATAAATAAAGAATGAGATGCTTGGGGGGGAGAAAACAAAACCCATGTTTTCCTGCTTGAAGTACAAGATTGTAAGAAATAGTATTTTTTCGTTGACTGAATGATAATATAATGTAAAATTATTACCTACCTTAAGTTCTCTAAAGAAGATGCTACTCCTCGCCCATTCAACAATGGAGAAGAGGGTTTGGTCAGCCATTTTACACATGAGCCCGAAAGTGTTGAGCTTCTCGTGTTTGCTTCTGTTGGCTTGCTCTTGCTGCAGATATGCCATGATTTTAGCTTGGACTTGTGGCTCATCAGGCTCACATTTCAGGAGTTCCAATATCAGATGTGGGATACTTGCTGGTGAGCTTGTTTGATAACTATCCATGTATGAGTAGCCCATTATTGACTCTGGTGAGCTAGTGTAAGGGTCAGGGTACTCGGACTTGATAGCACGGCTTGGAAAATGGCCATAGGTTTGGTAGCCTTGCAAACTGCCATGGGGTGGCATTGTCATGCTGATCGGAGAGGTCACAAAGGGACTCCTGTCATAGTCTGTAGGAGGCAAGGCAGTATGGTTCAGAGGTAGGCCTTTAGAAGCTGAATGGATGTTCTGGATTGCAGAGGATATTGTCAGGTCAGTTGGCATTGCTTGGATCACCTGAGTCATGGCTTCCAGTTTCAGTCCATTTGCTCGGATAAGAGCTTTCTTCTGCTGCTTCAGTGCCCTGTCTCTCTTGTACATTGGTCCAAACTTGTTTCGACCACCACGCATTCGGTCAGCTCGCACAGCTGTCAGGGGAAAGGAGAAAGTAAATCATTACTAACGCTTGGAATCGACATTTGTAATCAAACATATATTAGGAAGGAGCAGAAATGTAAAAATTTGACTCTTTTTTTAAAATTATTTTTCCAAATTCAGAGTTGCACTTTTATTCCTAAGGAAAAGGATTTATTTTGACTTAACAAATGTCACTTTTTTCTAGTAATTTAAATGTCACATGCATTTATTACTAACAAAGAAGGACTCCTCTGTACATTGATTAGGACACAGGGACAAACACAATGGATGGCTACAGGAATTTCACACCTGCTATGGGATCATGTGGAAATCTCAATGTACATTTGGGTTTATATCAAGCTACTATGTCATTAAGAAACAAGGGCTGAAGTCCAGAATTTGTCTGAGACGTATCCAGCAGACCACACTGTCTCATTATAATCATTCCATTACTGCCTTCCACCGCAGCAAAACATCTGAAATGTAAATTGTGAAATGTTCAGTAGTCACAAAGAGGAATACATTTCTCTTGGCAAAAAGGAAACATTTCCTTTTGATGGTTCTGTCCAGGTTGGTGTAAAACTTTGAGATTTCTAGTTAGCTGAGCTCTATGGAAATGTTTAGCTGCAGTTGGAATGTGCAGAGAGAAAGCTGTCAGCTTGCTGCCTTCTACATGGAAGACAGAAGTGAAACAGAAACTATTGACACTGTTCTGGCTTATAATATCTCTGGAATTAGAAATAATTAAAACAAATCCTACTCAACAGCTGCCTTGAGAGTCATACTGGTGGTCTCTGTCACGGCAGTGTCTGTCACCATGGGATATATGTGATGGACTAGTGAGGAGCTTTCACCAAGCCCACCTTGCCCAACGGCAATTAGATTGAAAGAGGAACCTTTGACAGCCTGGTGACATGTTGAGACTGCTGAGATTGCTGGAGGTTAAGTTCTTGAGCTTTTTATCTTAGGGATTAGTAGGACATTAAAAATTTATTATGAATGCTAGATACGCATAATACTGTACCTTATCACGTAAGGACTTTAACGTTTAATGATTTTTTGTTCCATGGTAATTTATAAACTTGACTTTTAAGGCTATATATATCACTATCAAGGAAATACACATATAAATGTCACAAGTATTTACAATTAAGAGAACACATGTTATTCCAATTTTCTAAACAGGGGAAAAGAAGTCGTATGGATGTGTAGATAAGAAAGCTAAAGTACATTTTCTGTAGTACCTTTAAAACTACAGATGTTTTGCTTGCTTTTGTAGGAAAAATGAGCTGCCAATATTACTGCTGAATGTTGACTTTTAACAAAATACCTTAAATTAATTTTATCACTAGTAAATGTAATTAATTTAAAATCTGTATACAGAGTATCCTCACTCGTACTCTGCAATTAAAAACTGTGAGCCAAATTGGATTAGCAAGTGCTTTTGTATACATCCCACTTAAATTTAAGGTGAACTTTGTGCAATGACAGAAGACAAAGTTTAGTCTGGTATCATCATCAGCAAGTGAGAGGAGTTAAAAGCAGGAGTAGACAAATGTATTTTATCCTTCTTCTTAATGTCAACAATGACAAAAGGATTCTACATGTGCTGTGATTGTACTATTTGAATTTGGAAGCACATGCAATGATTCAGGATGTTTAGTGTAGTGTGTCAGTGCTAGCTCAGTCTTGTGGGCAAATACAACACTATTGAATCAGTCAAACTGCAGGAGGCTGATTTTTCTGTTTATCTTCAGTTATATCAACAGCTTCCCTTTGCCAGAGCCTGGTGACTGCCTCTTGTCCTTTCTGGTTCCCTTCATGTCTTACAGTTTTCCTCCTTGGCCTGATTTTTTTTCTGGTTAAGCGTCTAGGGTGAATGTCATTGCATACAGTTGTAGCAGTAAGGAATTTAAGAGATTGCCCTTGGTCAAGGAAAAATGTCATCTGTTGTGAAATCTGAATTTTAACATTTTATATATCAAAGTTAGAATGAACCATGCATGATTCACAAATTGAAGTTGATGATATTTTTGTGTTTGGTTATCTCAAAGGGTATTGTACACTTTTCATTGTTCTCTGTAGATGAGAAAGCAAAATGAAGTCAAAAAGTGTACTTCAAAATGCCTTATCCTCTTTTAATCACAATAGCCTTGCAGGTGTAACATCACAAAAATATAGGACACAACTTTAGAGATTATTTTGTTCCTTAATCTCAAAGGCATGTCAGTGTGAGAAAAACCCTTATCTGTTTCTTTGTGTTCTGCCTTGTTGTCAGAAGAACATATGTAAAAAAAACCAAAACAACCAACCGTAGATAAAATACAAATAAAATCAGATCATTCTCCGTAGCAAATGAATAATTTTTTTTTCTAATCTGGACAGTTGTTTTATATTTAATCTAAATTAAGTCTTTTTTAAAAGCTGCAAAACTATTCAATTTACATCCATGAATTCACAAACTTCAAAAGCCTGAAATATCAAACTATATACTTATATGACAAAATGGATTATGGTTTTCACTGCTTCCTAAATGGTAGTGATCTACCATTTACTTATTAGATTTTTTAAAAATAAAGCAACAATTTCACTGACCATACAAAGTAACCTTTTATTAACATTTCAAAGCCATAACTATATAACTTTTTAATATACAATACAATGCATTAACATCTTATCCTATAATTTTATAGTATAGTTGAAGATATCAAGACTATAGCTCTTACCTTCCAATTTCATTCCAACACTTAGACATTTTTGAAATCGACAGTAAGGACATCGTTTTCGCTGTGTTTTGTCAATCTGGCAATTCTGATTTTCTATACATGTGTACCTTTTGTTATTCTGGACTGTTCGCTTAAAGAATCCCTGTATGATAGACACAAAAATTAGCCTGTTTTGCTTGAACGTGTGTTTTCATTCAGCATTTTATGGAAATCATTGTAAGATAATTTTCAGATGCCATTCAAGCACTTGCAAAGTTACATAGTTTATTTTAAATTAGCCAGCTGAACCCAGAAGATAGCCACTGGATTCCAGAGGAGGTTTTGTTGTGTTAGTGCTATGTTTTATAGACTTCATGTCAAAGCTTGGCGAGACTTTAAGGAGGCTGTAGCCTTCTGTGCTTCTAACACAGGTGGCAGAAATAGTGACACTGACTGCTTCCTTTTGTATTCTTAAATCATTGCAGAATTATTAAAGTCTTCCTTTTCAAGTAGTTTTACATGAAATAAGTAGTTGCAAAGATAAGAGTAGTACAGAGTACCTCTGGCTATTTTACATCCTAGTGGGACATGCTGGAGGAGGCATAGTAAGTGCTTGTCACTCATTTTTCATTGATTTTTTTGGGTGAAAATATAGTGGGCTTAGTTAATTTTTCCATGCAACTAAGTGTTTTAAATTGCATTGTTCTGGCAAAGGAGCTTCACTTACAGTGCACTGCTTAAATAACTGTAAAAACCCTTGAAAAAATTTTACATGAAAAATCTGACATAAATTCACAATTATTTAAACCTTATAGCACAATAGACCAACACAGGTATATTCATCTTTCTATATGTTAATTAGTTACTTGACTTTGTGTGTCCAAGTGACAGTTAAAGTTTGCATGAAAAAGTACATGATCATTATAATCACAGAGATCTACATTGCAATATTGAGGAATGAAAATAAAAATCTTAAGAAAGCTGCATTAAATTTTGCAAAGCTAATCTGCATGAAAGATAATCTTCCTACTTTATCCTCCAGAAAAAGAAGTATAAATCAACTAAAACCAGTATTTAACACAGTTAGCAATGAAAATTGTTCTAGAACTACATCAGGACAGCAAAACACTAAAAAACAGTGACAAAACTACAATGTGAAACAGTCCAAGTTGTTTGCATTTGTGCAGATGTCTCTCTCAAAGAGACTTTTACATCCTAAAGCTTTTTGGTGGTTAATTATTTTATGTGAATATATTAAGAAACATATAAAAATAACCCAAAATATTATACATCTGTTTTATTTATTATCCTTTTTTTTCTGCTTGTATTTGAAACATTTTTACTGTACTTGTGTTTTTATGGACTGATTAGTACAGAACCTTGCAGCTTTCACAGGTGAGAAGTCCATAATGGTACCCAGACACTTTGTCTCCACAGACTGGACACAGCTCTTCAAGGTCTTCATCATAAGAGTAATTCACCATTTTAAACTGAGACACTGGGGGAAAGGAGAAATAGCATAATCAATTAGAATTTACATTACTAACTCAAATATTCTGCAACTTTCTTATCTAAAGCTTACTTAAACAAGCACACCACTGAAAATAGGGAGAAAAAAGTTTTATTTTGGAAAACAAATTGCATGGAGACATGCAAATCTGCATGGTACTTAGCAAGTGTAATAAAATGCATCACCTTCTAAGTTTTATGTTCTAAATACTTATACTTAGAGTGCCTTTAGCCTAGTCCTTATTTTATGGAATAACAAACTGAAAGAATTCATTCAAATCCGAAAATGATCAGGGGCAAGCTTTAAAAAAAGCAGAACGAAAAGATTGTCACTTGTATATTGAAAGTAATTATTTTCCGTTGAAGTTTTCTTTCAACATCAGCCCGCAAATTTTTAGCTAGACTAAAGCTGTATCTCACAGAGCCAGCACTTTTGCACTGTGTGAAATCCAAGTTAGTTACTCGCAAAACCAGGTGAAAAGGACGTCCTCCGCGCCTCCCAAGCCCGTGGTCTCGGGGTGACCGCCACCCCTGCGGGCCAGGGCAAGCGCGGCGTGCCGGCACCCCCGGCTGTCGCAGCCAGCAGGTCCGCGGCCACGGGGGAGACGCTTTTTAGCTGTTCTCGTGTCGGCAGAGAGACACGAGCCGGGACCGCCGTGCTCGGGGGATGCGCTCAGGGTCTGCCCGGCCGGCGGACCGGGCGTCTCCCGCTACCGGGGGCCTGCGTGAAACCTGCACGCCGGCGCCGCCTGAAGTTTCTGCCGCTCCGGGAGAAGGAGGGGAGAAGCCGGCGGTCAGGAGGGCTAAAATATGCGGAATGAAAGCCCGGAGCCTGCCCACCCGAGCCGGGCTACCCTCACAAGGAGCCCAGTCAGCCGCTCCGGTTACTTCTAAGAAGAAACCCTGCTGCTCAGTGCAGGGCCGGTTTCCTTCCCCTTCCCTGCTTCTAAACCTCCGACCTGTTCGGCAAGCACTGTGGCAGCGGAGGACTCCTCAACACGGCGAGAGGCGCTGGGCATCGCCGCTGGACTGCTTAGGATATCGCCTCTTTGTCTTCAACTCTACGGCTGCCACAGTTCGGGGGCAGCGGGGCGGTCAGACTCCGCCCGAAGCCCCCGGCCCGGCCGCCCGGCTTGCCAAGGCAAGGGGCTCGAGGGAGCTCCCGGGGAGAGCGGGAGCATTATCCCGCCGTCACACTGCCGGCAAAACGTTTCCTGAGCCACCTCAGCACGGCCGGGGATCGGCGCCTGTCAGCGGCGTGGGGCGGACACGGGGCGGCCGCAGGCGGAGGAGGAGGAGGGCCCGGCCCTCCCCTCTGCTCCCCCGGTCGCGGCTCCAGGGTCCGGCGCTGGGACGAAGTTGCCCTCCCCGTAGGAAAAAGTGGAAAAGCAGGGGTTTTCCGAGCGCCGCGCCCTTGCACGGAGCATCCTCCACAGGAGAGAAAATGGGCGGTCGGGTCGCTCCCAGCACCTCCGAAACCCTCGGCTTTTACTTCCCAGCAGGCTCCCAAGAAGAGAGGGGACAGTTTCTAAAGAGCAGCTGGGACGGGAGTTTCTGTCCCGGGAGAGTCGCACGGGGCAGGGCGGCCACACCGGGCTGCCGGCTCCAAGGCAGGGAGCCGACCCCCGGCGGGGTCTGCGCCGCCTCCCTCCGCGCACCGCTCCAGCTCCGAGTACAGCACCGGGAACAGCCTGGTCCCGCCACCCGACTTAGACATTTACAGCGCCATCCCAGCTCGGGGTACCCTCTGTCTTCCTGAGTACCCCGCAAATCCTCCACGGAGCCCTCGCCTGCAAAGTTTCGCGACACCGCCGCTGCCACCTGCACGGTACCTGTGGGCGCCGCACCCGCGAGACAGAGCCCCCGGGTCCCGTTTCGGGACAGTGTGTGACACGTGGGGTGCTCGCCAGAACTTCCACGCGTACCTCCACCTGCCATAAACTTCGAGACAGTTTTGCGCGGAACGGGGATTAGACCGAGATCCCCTGGATCTGCAGAGGGGCCGGGCAGCGTCCGATGGGACGTCTGCACCCTAGGGTAGGCTCGCGCAGACTAGATGCTCGGCAATTTCCCGGCCCCGTTTGCACCTTCTGAGCAAGCATTTGTCGTCGCGTCGGGCCTGGCACCCCGGCCCCCGGTACCCGCTCGAGCCACCCTGAAAGCTGGCCCGCGAAGGCAGGGGCTCGGCGGGGCGAGGAGCGGGCGGTGACGGGGAAGCTCGCAAGCAACTGCCGCTAACTTTTTTGGCAGAACGAAGGGGCGCTTTGCCGAGGGAAACCCGAGCGTGCGCGGAGGGGGAGCGCCCTGCGTCTCCCTCCTTACCTTGCATGTTTTCCGGCATCTGCCCCTGTTCCCCATTCGACCGGGCGAGTCCCAGGGCCTCCGTTTCCACTTTGGGTAGCATGACAAGGCGGCTGCGGGCCGGGCTGGGGGCTCCGTGTCCGTCCGCGACACCAGCACCTGGACACGGCAGCACAGATTTAGCTGGAGCAAGGGGCGCTCGGCGGCTGCTGCCTCTTCCCCCTCTTCCTGTTTTTCCCTCCCTCTGCTCCACGCCAGCCCTTGCCCAGTTGCAGCGGGACTACCGAGCGGCCCCGGCCACCGGGAGGAGCCGCCGGGTGCCCGCGGCTAGAGGAGCCGCGGAGTGGTAGTCGAGCTGCAGGCGGCAGGAGGGGGAGGAGAGAGAAGGAGGAGGAAGACCGGGGGTGCTGGGGAGGAAGGAGGAACCCCGGGAGCCCGCAGCAGCTCCGCCCGGGGCTCAGCACGGCGGCAGCCCCGCGCCCCGATCCATGCGGAGCGGCACAGTGCACAGGAGCACTCTGCCGCCGCTGGTGCTGCTGGACAGGGTTCCCACCCCCGTCCCCCTCCCTTCCTCCCTCCCTCCTCCTCCTCCTTCCCCTCCCCCTCCTCCTCCCCCTTTTCCCCCCGGTACAAGTGCGGAGGTGCCGAGTCGGGACCTCTAGCCCCGGGCCCGCGGGGAGGCGCTCCGGGAGCCCGGGGGCTGCGGGGAGCGAGGACTCCGGCGGAGGGGGGCCCCGACACCGCCGCTGCAGCCAATAAGGCAGAGGCGGGATGAGCAACACCCCCAGCGCGCACACACGCACAGAGCACACACAGTGGCCCAGTGCAGTCACCCCTACCCGGTTCTTAAACGGGGCTGCTGTGTGAGGGTCTGGGCTGATGCCGCCCCTCCCAGTCCCAGCGGAGCCCGATGGGCCGCCAGCCTCGCCAGCCTGGGCTGCGCCTGCACTGCTTTCAGCGGCCGTGCCTCTTTGCCAGTGGGCAGCCACGCTCAATCTCTCTTGGGTTCGGTGGGGCAATGCCTCCGCTCGGCCAGCGCCGGCTGCGAAGACCCCGGCGCTCACCTTCCCTCTGGGCGGGCGGGGGTGGACAGCGGAAGCCGCTGCCCTTGCGGACACGTTGCCGCCGCGCAGCCCTGGAGTCAAACAAGCAAGCGGGAACCGCGTTGGAGCTCGCTGTACCTATTCAGGCTTTTTGTGCCTCCCTTCCCTAAGCGTCTTGCGAAATCGGTCAGTGCCAGTCTCGTCCTTTGCACAGAAGCCAAAACCCTGGCAGAGCCATCGCTTGAGTCCCCCTTCCCCGGCTCACAGTGCAGCAAGCAGCACTATTTTCCAAGTTGCCCTAAAGAACTCGTTTCTCGCAAGTGTGTGCCTCAGCGGCGGGAGCCGAGCGGTCCCGCGGCGCGGCGTTGCGGGGGCTCCTGGGGCAACTGGGTGCCGACCGCCCGGCTCGCCGGGCCGGAGGTCTGCCTGCCCTCGTTGGCCTTTCCGCCCCTCTCTCCGGGAGGGCCCGGGGGGTTCCTCGCCGTTCCTACTGCGCCGCATAGGTTTGATGGTGTAGGATGAGCGATATTTGCACCTTGGAAAGCATCCGAGCCCCTCATCTGAGCGCTCGGTCGCCCATTCTCCTCTGACTCTTTAATCTGTATAAAGTGTTGGAGGAGCTGAAAATGTTTGGAGGTGAAAACTGCTTCCGATGGAAAGTGAGGCGCGGAAGTGTCTCCATCGCGGAGTATGGCATTTCCCATCGGCTGGGAGAGCGATAGTGAAAACTGGCGGTTGTAACTTATTCAATAGTGCTGATGATCGCTGCGTGAACCCGCGCTGGGACAAGCGCTCCACGTGCAGAGAGCGGACTCGGCTGGGCGCTTAACTTTTTGCAACCAGTAGCTGGGACACCTTTGCTAGCTCAACGCAGATTCCTAGGCAACCCAGCACCAGCACCACCGGAGCAGAAGTTTTTTTTTTTCCATTCTCTGTGCAGCGTTTGATATTTGCGGGATGGATCCAACGCTCAGAGAGGCCCGGACCTCTCTGTCTCCTTCCACTCTCACCTTTTGCCATTCTCCTTCGGGCGGGAGCGCAAGCGGGCAAATGATACCAACACGTTATTTCTCAAGTTATAATTTCACAATTAAACAGGTCGTCTGCGAATAAGTTTTAGGACAGTAATATGGCGAGATGCGATGGCTAAGACGGGTTGGCTGAAAACCATCTAAAGAGATGGCCCCGTTTCTAGGCAGAAGTAGCTCGGATTGAGACCCTGTCTCGGCCCTTGGGTAGTTACTCCCAGGTGCATTAGTTACAAACATTCCCTCTGTCAGGCGCCCCCGTGTAGCATCGCCTTGCGCTGATCCCGGGCGGCTCAGCACTGGCGGCGACAGCAGCACAGCGCCGATTCCGCTCCCTCCCTCGGGCGCCCGCCGAGAGAGCTGCGGGTCGGGGGCCTCGGCTTCGCGGCGGGGCCGCGGCCCTCCGGCCTTCCGAGCCTGCGGCCGGGCCGCCTGGGCCCGACGGGAGGCCAGAGCGCTCCGGGGGCGGCTCGCAGAGGAGCGGCACCTCCTCGCAGCCCTTCCCCGCTGGAGAACATTCCTCAGGGCACAGCTCCAAGCGCATTTACAGCAGACCATCAGGACGCCTGCGGACCTGGGTCCTGCAGCCCGCTGGGCTCTATCGGGAACAACCAGTCCCCTCGCCCTCGCCCGCCACCGGGTGGGTCACGCCGCTTGACGATTTCCCGACGGGGCGCTCCGTGCTGCCGCTCTGGTTACTGCTGCTCCGGGAAGGCAGTTGCGTTTTGGGGAAAAGCCGGGAAAGGAAACGCCGCATCCGGACAGGGCAGGCGAAACCAGCCCGAGTGCTGCCGGGGTCAGGCGGGCTGCGGCCCCCGCGGACACCGCTGCTAAGTGCCCCAGCAGGGCCGGCTCCCCCCGGACAGCACTCCCCCGCGGGCTCGGCCCTAGCACCGGTCCCCGGGCTCTTCCCTCCTACTCAGGGGCTTAATGTCATTCTGCCAGGGAATTGTTTGGAGGGAGTTCCGACTGTACATGGCGAAGTGACTCTGCGAGCTATCACTATGGATGAAAATACTTTGGAGTGGTTATTACACATCCACATTTCTCCGAAGTAATTGTTTAGGGCAGTACATATTATAAATGATACCTGGTCCCTTGTGGCTACATTTAATTTAACATGGAGTGCTAGCTCTCACGATTGCCTTGAGCAACCTTAATTACCCTTTCTTCTAATCTCTTCTCCATTCCTCACCAAGTTCTCCAAACTTTTTTTTTTTTTTTTTTTTTTTTTTTTTAATGCGATTTCTCTCCTGAGTTTGCCTGCCTTGTTCTGACTTTGCCTGAAGGTCTTGATTGACGCGTGTAATTATAATTATAAAAGATGATGGCTCGGGGAGCTTCCAGCAGCCTTGATTAGTACAAGGAGCAAGACCTGGAATACTTTATACTTCCCTATTTAAATGTATGTACATTTACATTGAAAAACCCCCACTCTCTAATGTTAAATAATCTGAAGCTTTTCCACCTCTTTGTTTCCAAGGAAGAGGCTTCTGTATGATGATATTTCAAGGCAAGCTCCGATTGCTTATAGCTTCCAAGGGGGCACAAAACCTGAGCAAATTTCAAAGTCTTTTTCCCTAAGCAGAGACATTTCCAACTTGGAGTGGTCTTCTCGATGAGAAACAAGTAGCATGCTCTCTTCGAGCTTTGTGTCGGGAGACGTCCCAGAGAAGGTTTAATTTACCTTCCCAGCAAAGTAGCGAAAGAGAGTATTTGTGGGTGGGATGAGCGGGGGAGGGGGGATGTAGATGTTCAAGAAAAACTTCCCAGAAACAAATGAAATAAATAAATAAGCGGAGGACTGAAACTCTTCCGCTGGGAAGTCTAAATCCAAAACCGATCAAAAAGACTTAAAGGGAAGTATTTAAGGAGGGAATTCCTCATCCTGTCTCCCTTTCTCTCCCGCTGAACATTCCCGTTTGCCGCCAGCGCAGAGCCGCTCTGAGCCATCACTCAGCGAAAACAGTGACTTCAGCCAGGCTCGGGGAGGGAGTCAGTATCACGCATCCTGTCCTCGGCACAGGGACGCAGCCTCGGGCACAGGCTGTCACTGCCACGGGCACGCAGTGTTGCTGCCTCGAGAAGTGCCCCGGCGAAGGCAGCGTGCGGCAGTGCGGCCGGCACGGCATCCCTGTGCAGCTGGGAAAGTTCAGAACGCGATTTTGCTGCTTGACCTCACACACCTGTCACGCCCAACTTTACGAGACTATTTACACCAGGAAAGGCATGGCCAATATAGTCTCCTCTCCTCTCCTCTCCTCTCCTCTGTCCTCTCCCTGTCCTTGTCATAAGCAGATTATCCCTACAATACAAAGAGCAGACTACCTCGAAACCTTCCAAACCCCATAGCCAACGGTCTCCTTTCATCATTTTGCCGCGGCGGTATTGCATTCAGTTACTAGGGATTCATTAAATGGAGATTGCTAGTGCCTCCAACTCAGGCTTTGGGAAAGAAACTGTCCCTTCTAGAAAAAAACCCAACAAATAACCCAGAACAAAAATCCCTAACTTACCAAATCAACCCACTCCAAACACAAAGACACACTTCCCACTTCCCCCATTCTTCCTTTTTCTTCTTTTTAAAAATATTTTTTGTTTGTTTGTTTTGGTTTGGTCTTGATCCACTCTCAGCAAAATAGAGTGGATGCCTCAGACTGAAACCCTTTCGTGGTAAAACGCACGCCACAAAGGATCACGTCTGTGCCCTCTTGCCTTTGTTTTTTTATACAACTAATCATTCATTTTTGCTTTACGGAGACGTCGTTCCTCTCTGGTTCGGCATAGACAGCCATTTCCAAACGGTCAATTATTGACCGAAAAGCTATTTTTCAAGCTCGGCCAAGCTCCTGCTGCCCGCCGGAATGCACTGCTCTTATGAGCACCTGGCAGCAGCGTGATGCAGAATGACAGGAGACTTCGGAGAGGAGTGAGCAGGGCCAAGTGGGTGGTAAAGCATCGCTCCGATTGCCTTTCTTTTATTGGTAAGTGAGTCATCAGTGAGGTGTCGTAACCTCACCGCGTCCCGCCGACGTCTGCTCCGTCCCGCCCGGCTCGGGGCGCGGGGCCCGCCGTGCCCCTTGAGCATCGCCCGGCGCGCTCCTCCCGCGGGGCGGCCCGCACGCCTGGGGACAGGGACGGCCGGGCACTTGTTGCTGCAAGGCAGCTTCCCGACCGACATTCTGCTGCGCTAGCTGGAAGGCGTGGAAGGGCTAAGGCATGCTCGGGCGCCCTTGGGGACGGGGTGAGCAGTGCCCAGGGCTGGCGGCACGGCTTCCCTGAATCGATCCCATCATCAGGTCTCTTTCACTCAACTCTTAAAGATCCAGTTTTGCAAGCAGGGATCCTATTAGAAATTCCCCCCTTCCCTTCCCGCCCCGAAATTACATGAATTCTGTATGGAAAACGCCTTCTAGTTCCGCACTGCCTGGACCTGTTGCCGCTAATGGTGCGACGGGGAAACGCGCTCGCTGATCGCTGCTGTCTGCCGCGGGGGCCGCGGCTTCCCCCGCAGCCGGAGGCGGGGAGGCGAATCCATCAGCGGGGCTCTTTTCCGCGCCCGGGAGCGCTCCGAGGGACTGCCCGGACCATCCCGACGCTCCCCTCCGCCGCCATCCCATCGCCCCTTCCCAGCACTGATCATTACTGTTCTGATAAGGCGATTTTGTTTCTGTCTGCCCTTTTGGAGCCGAGTGTGGAACCTCTAGTTAAAAAGCTAGAGCTTAGTCTGGGAATAGCTCTCCAAATATATTTGTATATACCGCAAGGCTCCCGTCAGGACTGAGCGCCGGTCTCTGTATCATAAGAGATAATTGATTTATATCCTGCACAGACAGGCTTAAAAATGAAATTTCTTTTGCTGAGGCAATTGACCTTGATCTGCTGGTGGAAAAAAGAGATGGTTTAGGTCTGCTTCTTCCGCCCCCCTTCCTCCATGTTTCAAAGCTTGGAAAACTTTATTTAAAAATAATTTTTACAGCTGATCTTTATACTGAAAAAAGTTTAAGCTCATTCATAGCTATCTGTCCCAAGATTTATCCACACATAATGTAAAATAATAACTATGAAGATAAACTAGGCATAGTTTACACTGAGAAATCTTGATAAGGATTGTGTACATTTCCATGTCTGTTCATTGCACATAAGAATGCATTAATATATATTAATAGATAAGGTTACGTATCTATGTAATATATACATGTACTCATGTAATATGTGAGTAAACTCTAGGCATTAATAATGATCTGTCATGAGAAGTTTTAACGGGTTTTCCCACAAGACAGATGTACACAAATCCTCCTGCAGACCCTTCTTCCTTTTCACCATGTATATAAGACAAGTTTGAGAGCTGACCTTTAAATTACCCTCACAGACAAGTAGCTTGAGGCATTTTGTCAGTACTGGAGAGATCCCTCAGAAGACCACAGGCATCATCTTTGCCTCATGTATTGTGGTATTTAAAATCAGACTAACAGAAAAAAAATCAGATGTAAATACTGCCCCTTTTGTAGATAGCTCATTTGCAGTATAAGCAAATGAGGACAGGAAAAATGGGAAGAAAATTGATAAAAGAGTAACAGCAAAATCCAGTGATATAAGAAAATAACCTACAGCATATCTTACAGTCCTCACACATTTCAAACTGTTCACTTCTGTGAAAATTTTGCCTGCCTAAATGCTGGCAGAAATCCTATTCCAAATTTTTAAAGATAGTATATGTTGTCTTTGTTAATCATATGACAATGCTACTATTGCTATTACTGCTAAACATAAAAACTAACTTTGCCAAACTCATGAGCCCTAATTTTAATACTATTAATTGCCTGAGGACATACATTAAAATGAAGATGGCAATAAGTATTCTACAAGCTGAAAAATATCAGTTGGAAACCACAAGTAGATTAGTTTTCCTCTTATATAACCATTTTTAAAAGTAAATGAAACAGTTATTTCTGTTAAATAATCATAGCTAAGGCTTATAAAAATTGCATAGTGTCCCTGATGACACTAAGACAAGAGGCTGATTAGAGGAAAAATAAAACTAGTCAAGTATCTTTGTATTGCTTCAGAATCTGGTAGAAGAAAAAATCATGGCACTTCCATAAAAACATTTCTAAGTCCATATGGTGTTTGTCATCTGGAAGATAGGATGTACTATTAAGATTTTGTGAATTCTGGTTGCCTCTTTGATCGTATGACTATACACCTAAAAGCAGGTGTCAACAACTGGTAGTGCCCACTCACACTCCAGCTCCAGCCTGGTTGTGTTTGCTCTCCAAGGGATAGGTCCACTGCTATCTATATCAGTGGAGTCTGATTTGCATTCATGGGAGCTGGAAGACGCCCTCCTTGCTGGGAGGAAGCTGTGACATGTCAGTGGTTTATAACAAAAACTAACTTATCACCAGATGGGGGAATGCACAAAATGCTCCCTGACAAGGGCAACTCAGCCTCTGTGATGGGAAGCAGCAAGTGTCCCTGCCCTGAGGGGCTGGTGGGACGGGGGTGCAGAGGCTGTGACAGCCTCTCACAAACCCACCCACTCTGCCTTGGTGAGAAAGGGAAAAGTGAAGGAGAATGCCAGGAGGGATGGGACAAAAGTAAAAGTCTAGGGATTTGATTTAGTCTTACAAGCGTATGACCCTGCTGCTGGTTGTACTTCTACCCTGGGAGGACAGCTTTTTCTCCTAAAGAATTACTCTCCAGTGCAAATAAGAACAGAATCTGGCTACTTCCTATTTGGTTCCCCCAGCTCCAAGCAGAGGCCCTCAGGTTGGTGTGGGTTCCATTTAACCCTTACAGGTACATGGTGATCAGTTCACAAGGCTGAGTTAGGTGAGCTTTTCAGGGATGCTACCATGGTTTCTGGCTCAGCAGTGTCATTGAAGGACAAAATCCTTCCCCTGACTCAGAGTACACAGGATTTTGGAAAATTTCACAAGATTTAGGCCTGCTTATTTCTGGGCTATGCTTTGTGAATCTGTCCTGGTATATTTGTGACACAGCACGTGTCACAGCATAAGTGGTATGGTGACAAAAGGCTCTGCTACTCTCTATAGCAATCTGTTTTCTCATATCCACATGATTTTGGGAACTGAGACCATCCAGTCTTCTGGAAACCATGAAAATGGCATTTAATTGGTCTAAGTATCACAGGTGAATGTTATTTTCCCTTCTCCTAGGGTTTTATCCTTTCGCCTTAAGAAGCCTTATCTGAATGAGCACTCTTCAGATAAATGAGATGTATAATTGTTTTACTATTCCTCAGGAAAGAGAACCAGAGGGTCATGGCATCCAGAAAGAGGAACAGTTAGAGAAAGGCCTGGAGGGGAAGATGGACTTGCCACCTTTTCCATGTGTTTCTGGGGGCAGAGCTGTGCAGAGGAGTACCCCACACCTGTAGGGAAGCACAGGGACTCTGAGGGGACATCTGGTTGAAACACAGTTGGGTCCAAGGTGGGAGCCCTTCTCTGGGAGAAGCAGCAGCTCCACCCAGAAGATAAAGATCAGTTATGTTTGCGGCTATTTCCTGCAGCTGTTGCTGTGCCCTCCATCCCCACGTTCCCAAAGCTTCCCTTGATGGCAAGGTGCCCACATCACACCCAGCATCAGGGTGAACTCCTCACCTGCCATGTGATGACGCACTTTGGGGCAAGAGGAGGAAAGTGTGCCCTGATTCCGCTTGTGGGCCAAAGATCCCTTCCTTCATCCATGCCAGGAAATGCTATGCTGAGGCACAACCTTGCAAAACCCTGGGCTGTGGAACCTGCAGCGCTGCTAGGCTGGCTTGTGAAGTGCCTTCTGCTCCATGAAGGAGAGTTTTCCCCTGGTAAGCCTTCTGCAGCCCTGCTTGGCCCCACTTTCAGCGTGGGCACAGCCTGGTGGGACAGGGGATGTTCGTCCTGGTAAAGGAAAAATGCCTCGCTCCAGGTGTGTGATGAGAGACAGAATGGCCTGAGACAGGAAGTGTGTGGAGAAGGGCAGGGAGGTGGTGGGGACATGCACACACCGGGGCTCGGCCACAGCCACCACAGCCTGGGACAGCCTGGGACATCTGGCTGTGCAATGCCCCTCGTGCCTGCCAGCCAGAGCAACCTGTGCCTGACGGCTTTCTGTGCCTGATGACAGGGAGCGGGTGCTGTTTCCATATGCTACTGAAAGTATTCACTTTGCTGCTCTGAAGTCCTAACTGACTTCTATTATCCAGCCCACTCCCACTGAATGACATATCTTAATTTTCAGTTGTAAGAAAGAATCTGCATTTGACAGAAACCACAGTGTTACTGAAAAGACAAAACCATTCCTGTGGTTTTGTTCAATATGAATTATCAGGCCAGAAGCAATTTAAATCTAATTTTTGCAAACGTTTCTACACGCACACACAAAATTTCACTGTTATTACCAATCATAATAGATTAAAATACTGTTAATTATCCAATGATATATATTTGATAATTGTATTATCTCTAGAGAAAATTGTTACTCTATGGATCATCACCTGTTTTCTTATATTTTTACATGGTATTGTAAAATTCTCTCTTGCCTAAGTATATGTGCAAATTAATCATAGACTCACTCAATTGTAGTGATTTTTTCAGTTTGGATACCCAGAAATCTAATATATTTACACAGAATCTTCAAAACAGTTAGAAAACTGTTACTTACCAGCTGATGTAAGTCCATGCTTTATAGATTCCTGTATGATGGCTGCGTGAGAACCAGAAGACATTATTAGGTGTAAATATACCGTACCTTTGGGTACAAGGGGTACAGCATTGAGTACAGGAGAGGTGCAGCCTGTAAACTTTTCTGGCCTTGAGACCCAGGCTATGATAGCCTGCAGTGAAAGTCGGCGTGATGAACAACAACAAAAAAAAATATCCAAGAATTCAGAAAGTAACAAGCATGGCTTTGAGTGGACTCTGTACTTTTTCCAGCATTAGTGACCTGCTGTAAACCATGTATCCCATTTCATGATAGTCTCTAATCAGAAGAATTGCAACTTGTGATAGGTTTGGCACCATCACGTGATTTAGTACAGCTTGATAAGAGACCCTGTTATAAAGTGACAGCAAAAGAGATAAGAACTGTTGGCAGATAATGGCAGAGAAATGATTAACCTAGAGTGGAGAGGTGCTATGAAGCCCAGAGAGGGGAAGGTTGTAAAGTTGTGGGGTCATAAGATCATACTGAGTGGATAAAAAGCCATACCAACATGAGTGTAATGTCTATAAACTCAGACTTGTGACCTGTCTTCTTGATGTCATCACCTCTTTGCACAGTGGACAGCAAGCATGGTTGTTTTGGCTTCTGTAAACACTCTTTGGATGGCAAAACAATTGAGCATTAATTCCTTAAGGGAGACTTCTGAATGCACTGGGGATTCTACACTCTGACTAACAGCACCAGCAAATCTCTCCTGATAGTTTGTCACAAAAAACCATTTTATTGCCCCAGTCCTCAGGCTGGAGAGTAGCTCCAGGTTGTAGCCATTTAGTTGAAAGCATATACTACTTTCTCACTAAAGAGCTTTACAACATGGTTAAACATTGATATCCCAGGATTATGATATGTAGAGTATTGCACTCACCTCTAAGTCTGTGAGGCACAAACCCTACCCACAGCATGTCAAATGGCTGTCAAGTGTTTGGCTTTAAACAATTTTTATGAAAGTGGGCAGCTGTGCAGATGACTGGGTGATGTTTCAGCTCAGCTGGGAGCGGGTCAGCTTCTGCTTTCACCCTGTCCAGAGGAAGGGCAGGGGCATGCCAACTCCCAGCCTGAGCACAGTGTGCCTTGCTCTGCAGTGCCACCGACAGCCTCTGCAGCTCCAGCCCAATAGATTAAGTCTGCATACACTTTGTGAGATCAGACTCAAGCCTGAATAATCAGATGATATTTTATATTTAATTTCTCTTGAAAAATAGAGTGAAGCTGTTCCACTATGGGCTAGATCTGAAGCCTCTTGAAGTCAGTGAGAGTTTTTTTCTCTTTAAACTTGCGGAGGGCTGTAAAGCAGCATGTACCTTTTTATATACTTTGTCATGGTGGTTAGATTTTGGTGACACGGTGGCAAACAGGTTAGCTCATGCACAAACTGAACTGCTTCTCTTGTCTAGGATGAGAGCTTGAGAGCTGGTCTGAAAACAGGGCTGGTGTGGCAAACCAAGCAGTGACTGGACATTACAGCCAGAAACCCTCAATTATCACTTGGACTGTGCAGTACTGCCCTCCTGTAGAGACTGTGTTAGTAAGGAGGACAGGGTGTAGAGAGAAGGTCTGATTTCCCAAATTCTTATCTTCATATTTGCCACTGGAAAAAAAATAATTTACAAATCTGCTTAAACAGGTGCTGTATTTTTTAAGGGTTGCTGATATTTTTTTATCTGTTTAGACTGAGTGAAAGCTGGAAGCCAGCTTATAAAACAGATTTCATATAAACCTAAATATTTGGACTCTTTTTTAATTAATTTGGTTGTCAAATAGATTTTCAGTTCTATTCATAAAAAGTGGAAAGAAACATCTATTCCATCAGAAAAGGCATGTCTTTGGGGTCTGGGGATAATTTCATATAAACCTAAATAATTGGACTCTGTCTCTTTTAATTAATTTGGTTGTCAAATAAATTTTCAGTTCTATTCATAAAGTGGAAAGAAACATCTATTCCATCAGAAAAGGCATGTCTTTGGGGTCTGGGGATAAAATAAATGAGAATTGCTGCACATGATACTGTGGTTAGAAACTTTCCATTGTATCATCAGAGACATTGCTGGAGCCCCGTTGGCCCATCTTCAAGAGCTTCTATAAAGGAATCCGCCGTATGTGGGGGAGAGAGATACTAAATCATAGGAAATATAGAGAAACTTCATGCTTTTGGCTTCAAACACTGTAATTCCTTTCCTTTTTTTGCATCAGTATCAAATGTCAGGGCCACTGAAAAATGTTCTATTTTTCCCTTTCTGATACTTTGTCTCCATGGACAGAGGAATGTATGCCAGGTGCATAACCAGACAGACTTTCTTTGCCTTTCTTTATACCTAGTCCAGTAGGGGAAAATAAACTCCTAGGGAAACTCCAGGACAGCCTATATCAGCCTGTGATCCAGCACTCGATGTGTTTAGCAGTGATCCATTTGGAGTCCAAGTGAAACGAATCCATAATGAGGCTTATGAGTTGTGCCACTGATGTACCTGAGTTCACGGCTCATTACTTTGCTTGATCAGGAATTTGGAACTGTAACTTTTCACGAGTAAGTCCCTGCTGAGGCAGCCACCAGCCTCACCCAGAACAGCTTTTCCTAGCTGTGGTTGGAGCATCATAGACTCACCTTGTATTTCTCTGTTTTTCAGTACTGCCCTCTGCCTTTCTTTCCTTCCCCTATCTTCCTCCTGAGAAGGTGAGATGAGTTAATTTTGTTTTTTCAAACATGCTTTTCTGTCTCAGATCTTTCAGGAAGATAATTAATTGATAAACTTTTAGTTTCTTTTTTTGTTTAGCCAATTCTTGTGTGATGAAATTGTCCCTTGTTTGTCCCTCTGACAAATGTCCCTCAAAGAAACTGTTCCTGATTTCAAAAGCTTGGCAACAATCCCTTCTTTGGCTCTTGCACATCAAATTATTTTGCAACCATTTACCACAAAAATGGAGTCAAAAGGAGTTTCTCCTCTCTTGGGCATTTCCATAGGTGGCATTTCATTTGGGCACATAAGAATATTAAGAAATAAGCCTCAAAAATGGACTGACTGACATTAAAAAATACCTTTTCAATGAGCTTTAATCCCTGAGTTGTATGTCTTGGTGTAAATTTAGTGAGCTCAGTCACGGTTTTGTAATTTTCCTGTAACATTTTGAATATTGCTTATCTGAATTCAGCATGTTCCTTGTCATTTTCCTATGCCATCTCGATGTAATGTTGTTTTTATTATCCATACAACTCAGAAAAGATATCTGCTCAGCACAGCACACATCAAACGAGGGACATGATTCTCATTCTACTGAAAGTTCAGGGCAAACGTGGCACTGATCTTGGCATGGTGCCCTCCAGGCATGAGCGCTCTGGTCTTGAGAGTAGTCCAGTTGGTTTTAGCTGGAGCTTTACATAGGTGGGAAGAGATTTGCAAGCTCTGTTCTTTGATCTAGAAATCACTCTCTTAAAACTTTTCTCTATTTCAGTCATTCCAGCGTTCCTCCTGATCTATCACAGACATTTAAAGTTATTTTGGATGCTTCAGTGTATTTTCTCCACCTTCATGAATTTTATTTCATATATGCAAAACCAAATCATTAAAATACAGTTTTATGCCTTTTCCTTACTAGTTCTGTAAAAGAAATTGGGAGAATCTGATATATCTGATGATCTTTACCCTTTGGATTTTTCAGTGATGACAGTACTGAAATAGAAGGTTTAATTTTTTAAGTAATTTCCATCACCTGATCCTTAATTCCTGTTTGGTCTTACGGTACAACTGCACTATTAAAATTTCTTGTTAGTTTTTTTACTTGTACGTATTTTACACATTATGTGTATCAGCTCAGTAGAATGCAATTGCATTGAAATACATTTCAGTGTCTGCTACTTTTTTGCTCAGGATTTGCAGCTTATTGGAAAGGAACTGTGGAGAGCAGAAGCTTCTGCATGGTACCTTCTTTATGGGTGTCCAAATATGAACTTCTTTCCTTGATTACATCTATCAGAATATATTAGTCTCTCATGTTTCTGTTCTCTGTTTAGATGAATACAATTTAATATAAACCATACTTGGAGATGAATAATGAAATGTAGAAATTATAAAATTGCTTCCTGTGATTTTTCCTTACTAATTACACAAATTATTTCAGTGAATATTTCTGATGACAAATTAATGTCTAGAGGAGGAGGTAAGTACAGACATTTGTAAACACATTTTTTTTGGGTTAATTGAGCAATCAGGTAAGCTCCAGGATTGCTTGAAAGGAAAACTCAATTCTGTGCAGATGGAAGCATACAGTTGTAGATCACAAAATTTCTCTTTTAGCCTTAATTATAGGAATAACATGAGCTTTGTTGGGACCCACATTTAGTGCTAACTCTCTGCACTGAAAGATAAAACTTTTTCATGGCATGAGGAGTTTAATCTGCTGGTCTGTCTGTCTGTCTGTGTAAGTAGCTTCAATTTAAATTTCTTGTACACCTTTTTTTTTTTTTTTTCCACTAATCTATCTTATTGGTGTACAAAGAGAAAGTTATTAAATAGTTATGGACCTTTACAAAGCTTATCTAGGAGATATTTACTGGTAATGGGAGCAGAGTGTTTGTGAGAAAAGAACAGATTTCAGTTCTGGGGGAAATGACTTGCACGTATGTAGCAGTAACAGGTGTTGTGAACTCATCCATCATCTCACACAGCACTCAGGAACAGACAACAGTTTCTTCGTGAACACTATTACTAAAATATCAGGAATTTGTTACTTTGAAAGGAGGAGAGGAGAAGGAGGTGGTAGGGAGTCTTAAAGTGAATCTGAAATGGAACTTAAAACCTTCTGAACTTGGTATCTAGATTTTATTTATTTTTTAAGTTACATACATAGGATGTAGGGATAACTTTGTTTCCACCCCTGTCCTACCACCACAAAAACCTTCCCAAATCTTACTTGGAGGCAGGCTGGAAATACTGAGTGTTATATCAGGAAACTAATTTGTGAAAGACCCTGAGTGCTCTGATGAGTTTCTGATTAATTTCTGCTCCTGAA